TATTGCTTCTTAAAACTGCTTAGTAAAAAAGTTTTAGTTTTATAATGGAAAGTTTTTTTAAAAAGCAGGAAGAACGCCGCCCCAAACGAAGCGGAAGTCTAAGTTATAAGAATAATAGCCTTTAAAATATAAAATAATAATATGAATATGATTATGAGAAATTCGAAGTAAACATTTCCTTATAGGCTTATAACTTTCTGCTTATGTGAATATATCATACTTGTGTTGAAGCTATATTGCGTGTATAAAATATAATAATTTATATATATGTAAAAAATAATTCTATTTTATATATGCAATATAGCATCAACACAAATATGATATATTCACATAAGCATAAAGATATATATATATAAGTTAACTAGTATTTTTATGAAATAAAAAAATATCAAGCAAATGTTTTTGCAAATGATGATTTGATTTCAAGGGATTGTTTGGTTTGAGATAAAAAGGGCGTAAATTATTTCAAATGCATGAGTTTTGAAAATATTAGTGTTTGATTTGGAGTAAAAAAATGCGGAGCAAAATTTGAGGGATTTGTGATTCACACTTTTGTTCAAAATATTTGCAAAAATTATTAGATTTAACATATTTTGAAATCCATTGCAAATAACTTGTCATTGTTGTTGTTATCACTTGTAGCATGCCACTACCCCTACAATCGCTACTGTTGGTTTCTTCTTGTCACTTTACTACACTTCATTCATTTTACTCGAAGCATAAAAAAACTGCATTTATTTTACACTAATTCAAATAATTTAAAACATTTTTAATAGATTATATTACTTTTATATTGATTTTATTTTACTATGCATTTATTTTTCAACAAAATGAATATATGCTAAATTAATAATTGATTTCTGAAAAGTTAAATAGGAACATTTTGTTTGGGACAACTTTTAATTACTTTTTTTTACTGTTTTTAAGAAATTTTCAAACTAAAAAAGTTGCTTTAAAAAGCAGTAAAAATTTATCCTAAACAAAGTCGAAATATTTGAAAAAAAAATACTACTCTTGAAAAAAAATGGTTTTGCATGAATTTTGTACAAAAGATTAAGCATGATTAAAAATGTAATTTGTAGATTAAGCATCAATTTCTAAAAATTTAAAACTAGGTATAATCACCCATTTAAATGGGTGATTTTGTGTCCTAAGCTAAATCGCCCGTTAAACAGGCGATTTAGCCTTGAGTATAAATTAAAAAAAATTAAATTCATATTAATAAATATTAAATGTGTGATTTAGTTCATATAGTCTAACTCGCCTATTAAACAGGCGATTTCTCCTTGCCCTAAATTATTTTAAAAAATTAATTTTAGATTGGTTAGGCTACGTGACCTAATTAATGTAATTTATTGAAAATTAGAAATTATGCAGTGATAAAATAATCCAGTTTAATTTATGGAGTGTATCTTTGGAGATGTTTTTAAAAAAATATTCAAACCTAGTGTTATGTTTTTTGAACATTTGTATGTACTAATTGTGGATATTGAATTTATCTCTTCAAAATAGGTCTCGGGAAGTAAATGGCATCTTGTCAGCCCTTATTTTTTACGGATGCGGTATCATGAGATGAGACGCCGCAGAGATAGAGGTCATTCACACCGCCAGATATTGAATGTAGCCATCTTGACATTGAACATGTAATTTTATATTGTGATTGGTCCTCGTGGTTCGACAATTTCATTATGGATTTTTATAAAGAGCGGATAAACGAAGTATTACCTAACGATAAGCCTAGAGAGTTCTTTAATGTTGACAACTGGCAAGACATTCAGTATGAGTTCAAGTTCTATTAAAAATGGTGTCCAACTCAGACACAACTACAATCACTTTTACATATGTTGATTAGGAAATATGAAAGTTATGCCCTCCTCTAAATGTTATGTACCCAAACATATTTAATTTTTTTATCACCGTTTTTTTTTTAATTTTTTTTTAATTATTTTTTATTTTTTTATTTTTTTATAACCGTGTTTTTCTTGTTTAGCAGGAAGCGTGTCTAAGTGTTTTTCTTTGTTATATAATCGGTTACTTGTGCATCTACATTAAAAAATATTTATATGTTGGATGTGTACTTCTTACTTGTATATTTTGTGTTGTGAATTTAAATGTGATATAAAAAAGCATGGTTACAAAATATTAGAAATGATATTTCTTTATTAGATTAAAACATGAACATGACTTTTCTTTAAATTTTATAAGTTAATAAAATCTTAAAGTTTAAATAGTCTGTATTATGAAATCATACATACTACTAAATAAACATGTGTTGTCTCATCAGTTTGTCTTGTAAAATCAGCTTTTGTAATGTAATGTCACTATGTATTGTCACATCATTTTGAGCGTTCAAATCATGTCTTATCAGATTAAGTTGTGTTGACAACAGATTATAATTAATATAATCTGCTTTAATGCTCCTATAAATTGAACACATCATCCATCCTTCTAAGCAAATGATTATGGAGGGTAGCACTTGATTGGGGGAAAGAATGTATAGGACACCCAAAATCCCTTCTAAGCAAATGATTATGGAGGGCAGAACTTGATTGAGGGAATGTTTAGCACATTTCACTGATGAGGGGTTAAAAGAAATGTCAAGAGCAAATGACATTTATCATTGTTGTATACATTTTTTGTCAGATATGGAAGATTGCTTATTATGGCATGCACAAGTTGAAGCTATGAATCTTTCCGATGAGAAGGATGGCTTCGGTTTGAATGAAGTGGGTTGGAAATTTATGCAAAAGAGTTTTCAGAAATTGGGGGAACATCTAGCGCCTATTAAATTAAGGTTTTGAAGGATAGATACTCTAAAATAGGATGCCGTGAAGATGGGTCCTTTCATGTGACTATGGAAAACCCGACGTCTGATATAGCTCTCTGCATCCTTTACAAGAAATGACATCCTGCAGCTGATGCATTTCTCGTTGAAACATATAACAACTTGATTGCTTTTCCTGGTAAAAAGAAAAAAAAGGAGTTTTTAAGTGCTTCGAACTGATAATGTGTCCAAATTTGGTTCAAGAACAAATTCAATTGCTGCCCTACTCAAACCCATTCAAGCTCGCATGCGAATGGTGGTGAACAATAAATGAAGGCATGCTTATCAATTATTTAACTGCCTTATGTGTCTTAGTTTACTAATTTTCAAGTGTTGTTTGAGTGTGGTGTGTTCGTGCGTAATGTGTTATTTTGCTAAATTTAATGTTGTACTTAATGTCTATTTATGTTGTTGAGTTGGAATTTTCATGTTAGATTGAGTGTACTTCTTAAGGAGATTTAATGATCATTTATATTTTTTGATGGATATGACTATGTTTTAGATTATTTCATTATTTATCTTATAAATTTAATTTTATTTAAATTAACATTTAGTAGGGGAAGTGGATACTACATTAGCTAGCAGAAAGGAAAGCGAACTTATATTTATTGATCACTAGATATATCAAAATCAGTAAAAGCCCAACGTTTTTAAAACCGGACCGGACCGGCCGGTTCAACCGGTTGAACCGGGAACCGGTTCGTCGGACGGTCCGGTCTTCCCCTTTAAATCGGGATGCATTTCAACCGGCAAAAAACCGGGTCCAATGCCGGTTGAACTGCTAAACCGGCGAACTGGAATCCGTTAAAAGAACCGTCCGGTTCCGAAAATTCCTAATCAGAGCCGTTTATCTCAAATCCAACAGCCGAAATTGGATTTTAGTCTCATTAAGCAGGAGTCGAAACTCGAAACCCTTATTTCACTGATTTCATTCGCTGGAGGCTGATTTCGTTCGCTGCTCGCAATCCCTACGGAACCAACGAAGAAGACGACGGAGGCTTCACGCTAGGAGAGCTGAACGGCGGCATTTTCGTTTGCAAGTGAGTCGAAACACCTTAAGGGCATGCTTTCCGTTTTCGTCTCTCTTTTTGGTCGGACAATGGTGTTGCCGTGCCGAGACCTAAGAGCAGCTTTCCTTTTTGCCTTTTTGGTCCGACAATGGTGTTGTCGAGTTGCTGGTCGTGCTGTTTGTATTTTTTTTTTTATGTATGGTTCATTCGCCTTTGCCGCAACCGAGACCAAGAGCGACGACGGATTTTCGGATTTTGTTCAGTTTTAAGCCCTAACCGACATTTAAGCCCTACCCGGGATTGCATATTTGCATTAATGTGTCAATTATCATATTATTGTAAATGTTATTGAGCTTCACTGAATATTTGCATTCATGTATGAGATATCAATTATCATTGAAGCCCTTCACTGACATATACATATTTTCGGATTTTGTTCAGTTTTAATCCAGATTTGTTCGGTCAATTGATTGTTTGGAACCTCGAGGTGAATTTCTGTCATTTTATGCGCTAAGTGCTGACATTTTGGAGGTAAATTTTCTTTTTATCTATGCTTTGATTAGTCTATGTCTATGCTTAAAACTGAACATTGCTTGGAATCACATTCTGTTGTTTAAAACTATGCTTTAAATCCATATTAGTCTATGCTTCAAAATGTCATAACATTGCTGGTGAATGTCTATGCTTTAAATCTAGATTAGTCTATGCTTAAAACTTAACAGAATGCTTAAAACTGAACAAACTCTATGTCTATGTCTATGCTTGTTAGTCTATGCTTTTGATTAGTCTATGCTTTGATTTGTCTATGCTATTGTATGGTGAATTTATGTTAGATGTATATTTATTAACTTTGATTAGTCTATATATGCTTTTGTTGCTTCATGTGGAACATATTTCAATATGAGTATTGACTATTATTGAGTAGTATATTTTATTTTAGAATGGAGCCACCAACAAGTTCTTCGCATAGTGTGCGTGAAAAGATTGACATTGCTTGGAATCATTGTACTGAAAGTAAAAGCCCAGATGGAAAAAAATAATATAGATGTATACATTGTGGGATTATATATAAAGGTGGAGGCATTAACAGAATAAAACAACATTTAGCTGGAATTAGAGGTAACATAGCTTCATGCAAAAAAGTCCCACATGATGTTCGTCATCAGATGCAAGCAAATCTAAAAGAAATAGGAAACAAAAAACAACAAGCCCAGGAGGAGTTAGAGCAGAGCACAACTGTGTTTGTGGATGAGCATATGGATGAAGAAAGGGGCTCTTCGTCACTTCCCAAGTCACAATCATCTGATGCCCACCATGAAAGTACTAATAGAGGGAAGAGAAAAGTAGATGAAATAGAAAATTATTTTGCACCAAGAACTAAAGGAGGTTCTCAACCATCATTGAAGAGTGTAATGGCATCCAAAGAAGCAATACATCGTGCTGATTTGGCAGTTGCTAGGTGGTTTTTTGACAGTTGTATCTCTCTTAATGCCATAAACTCTGCCTTTGCACAAAAGGCAATTGATGCTATAGATGCAATTGGGTCTGGGTATAAGTTGCCATCATACTATAAATTGAGGGTTAATCTTCTAAGAGATTGTAAAGAGGAATGTCAGTTGTTGATTGATTCATATAGAAGATCATGGACTGAAATAGGTTGCACACTCATGGCAGATGGTTGGACAGATAACAGGAATAGAACTTTGATTAATTTCCTTGTGTACAGTCCAAGGGGTGTAGCCTTCTTAAAATCTGTGGATGCTTCTGATATTACAAAGGATCACCAAGACTTTATGTTTATTATTTTGTGAAGTTGTTGAATGGGTAGGATCACAGAATGTTGTGCAACTTGTAACTGATAATGCTGCAAATTATAAGAAGGCAGGGGAACTACTACATGAAAGATTTAACAGTATATATTGGTCTCCTTGCTTTGCTCACTGCTTGAATCTTATTCTTAAAGATATTGGAAACATGTCTCATATTCAGGAACTTGCAAAAAGAGCATCAAAGGTTACAGTATTTGTTTACAATCATGTTTTTATTTTAGCTTGGCTTAGAAAGAGAGATGGATGGAAGGAAATTATCAGGCCCGGAGCTACTAGATTTGCTACAACTTTTATAACTTTGAGAAGCATATATGATCACAAAATCCACTTACAGGCTTTCATAACAAACAAAGTGTTCTTTGAATCAAAGATATCAAAAACAGTGAAAGGGAAAGAAGTATCATCTATCATTTTGGATAATAAATTTTGGAATGATTGTTTGCTAGTTTCTAAATTATCTGGCTCTTTAATTCGATTACTGAGAATTATGGATTCTGATGAGAAACCATCTTTGGGATTTCTTTATGATGGCATGTATAGAGCAAGGAAAGCCATTAAGGGCATGTTTAAAAATTCTAAAAGGATGTACAAACCTTACACAACTATTATAAAGACGAGATGGGATAGGCAACTAAGACAAGGCATACATTGTGCAGCTTACTTTCTTAATCCACATTTTCAATATGATAAAGAGAATTTTTGCATGAAATCTGAAGTGCTGCAAGGTTTAGTTGAACTGATTGGAAATAAAGATATATGCCCTAAATCAACAACAACAATGAATGAGGTTAGACTTTTTCGTGATAATTTAGAGAGTTTTGGCAAGCCAATTGCACTATCAATGGCCAAATAAATGCAGCCAGGTAAGTGAAGCTAATATTTTAGTATACATTTCTTCTTTAATGCATATCAAATAAATAATACTTAACTTTTTGTAGATGAATGGTGGAAAATGTTCGGATCTAGTGCACCAAATTTGCAGAAATTGGCTGTTAGAATTCTAAGTCAAACCTCTTCATCTTCTGGATGTGAAAGAAATTGGAGTGTATTTGAACAAATTCATACCAAGAGACGGAATCATCTAGAGCATCAAAGGCTTAACGATCTTGTATTTGTTCGTTACAACCTTAATTTGAGGCATAGGTATCATTGTATTTAAATATTTCTATATATAAGCATGAATAATTTTTTTATTTATGATGTTTTATATTAATTTTATAGATTTCAAACAAAAAAAAGAAACTACGATCCTTTGGATTATACAAGCATAGAGATGGTGGATTTTTGGGTGCTTGATGAAGAACCAATTTCAGAGCTTGTTATGGAGAATTTAGAGAATGAAATATATGATGAAGATGTCATTCCTGTTGCCGAAAAGGTTAATACTAGTTGTACTAAAGAACCTCAAAGTAAGTACAAAGTTAGTTTAAGTTATATCATTTGAAAGTGATGTTTAATATATATATTATTTTGTATTTCTAATATGCAGATGATGATGTCCTTGATGATGTTGAAAATGACAATGAAATAATTGAGAATGATAATATTGGTGCTTTTGGAGGGGAGTGTTTTGATGAACAAGGATTTAGGGATATCACTTTTGATGCTTCAAATCTAGGAGATGACTTTTAAATTTATATGCATATTTATGTTTACACATTAAAGTTTGACACTTTGACTTGATATGAAATTATGAACATTTTGTTTGATGCCAAAAGTTGACGTCTGATATAGCTCACTGCATCCTTTACAAGAAATGACATCCCGTAGCTGATGCACTTCTCGTTGAAACAACTTGATTTCTCTTCCTGGTAAAAAGAAAAAAAAAGGAGTTTTTAAGTGCTTCGGACTGGCAATGTGTCCAAATTTGGTTCAAGAACAAATTCAATTGCTGCCATACTCAAACCCATTCAAGCTCGCATGCGAATGGTGGTGAACAATAAATGAAGGCATGCTTATCAATTATTTAACTGCCTTATGTATCTTAGTTTACTAATTTTCAAGTGTTGTTTGAGTGTGGTGTGTTCGTGCGTAATGTGTTATTTTGCTAAATTTAATGTTGTACTTAATGTCTATTTATGTTGTTGAGTTGGTATTTTCGTGTTAGAGTGAGTGTACTTCTTAAGGGGATTTAATGATCTTTTATATTTTTTGATGGATATGACTTTGTTTTAGATTATTTTATTATTTGTCTAGTAAATTTAAATTTATTTAAATTAACATTTAATACGGGAAGTGGATACTACATTAGCTAGCAGAAAGAAAAGCGAACTTATATTTATTGATCACTAGATATATTAAAATCAGTAAAAGTCTACATAATATATAATAAAAAGTAAAATATAACATCAACTAATGTCTCCTATGTCCTCTGTGGGGTAAAGCATAACTGTATGGTGTGTAATGCTGTGGTGGACGTACAAGCCTATCATGTAACACATGCTGCTCGACCCAGATGATGCTTTGTTGCTCTGCCCCAACTGTGCTTGCTGATGTACTGTCTTGAACATACTCATATGCGTACGAGCCTGGTGTAGACTTCTGAGTCGGCTGAGTAAAAAATGCCTGAGAAAGTCCCAAATCATCATACGATGATGGTCCTACACTGTAGATTGAGGATCTACTATCATTGGAGTGAAGGTGCCACATGGATACCCTGCGTATCCATGCTCTGAGTTATGGTAACCTCTCTACGCAGATCCACTGTCATCTTAGCAATTCTCTTAATAATATTTTCGGCATTAATGTAGTCATCAGAACTCACCAAAGGTAGCACTGCCCTCTGTGTTCTGAAAAAATTATGCTGAAGGGAAAAAATTAAACTACTATAAGGATAAAATTCTTTCGTAATGAAATGTATAACATATTGATATTACTTACTAAAATCGCTCTGAAGGTGCTTTGGGGTAGTATGTTATCGGTGGTGTTGATGGTGACTTCAACATGTACAATGTCGCTCAGTAAGTGAACCATTGTAGGTATTTTGAATGAAGTGCTCAGTATCAGGTCTGGCAGTCATTCCTTCAATAACGTATGCTTGTTTATCCTCACACAATCTAATGTAAGGTAGGTGGTACACCTTCAAATCCGTATTAGCTTTATCAAGACCATGGGCTCCATATGTTGAACCTCCGTAGTAGGAACAAGCCCAAATTGTCGAACAACATTATCTGGCAGGTGCTACTCCACCCGAGTCCAACAAACAAGAGGCACACGAGCTAACCATATTGCTTTTCCTGATAAGCATATGTTAGCAACTTGAGAGTGAACTTATGTGATGTACGGCTCCCAAGTCACTTGCCAAACCATACAAATTTTTTTGTTAATTGAAATCGTTATAATTTAACCAATATAATTTCTATATTACTAATAACAATGCAAATCTGACTATCTAGCTCATCTCTAGAACTGTTGAGGCTACTTGCTAGGAGTTGTCTTATGAATTCTTGCTTTCACCTATATAAACAAATATAATTTAATCATTTCATTTTGTGCAACGAAAATTTATACGTAATGAAAATTTTAAGTCGATGGAATATATTATTTGTAGCCAATAGAAAGACCTTCCAAGATGACATGATGTGGGACATGAAGTTTAGGACGTCCAACATGAAGTCCCTCCTAACACCAAATATGAAGTAAATGAATACAACTTGCAATATTTGCCCTCTTTGGCTTGGTCGCCTCAACAAGTTCTCTGTACAAGTGGGTTGGTACTACTGCCCCTTAAAGAGTAAATGTTGAACAAATCCAAGTCCTCTAGCAAAGGTAAGAACCTTAAATGAATTTCACAACATGAGGTGTTTGGGAGTAGGTAAGTTCCCATCAAAAAGAGAATGTACGCATGAACATGCCGCCAAAAATCTAGTTCGGTCAAGTCCAAATATGAATCCCTATAAAAGATACAACGTAGTCATCTCAAAGGTAAGTAAGTCTGAGCTTGTGCATGTCCCATCATAAACTTTGAAGAGAATCGTGGGTTAAATAGATCATGATACACGACATATCGCTGAGGGTGTTGCCCTAGTAGATCATTATAATAATTAAACCAACTAACCCATCGTCTACCAGGGCCAATAACACTGTTACTAATCAATGTCGGCCCATCAATGTGAAGACTCAATATGAGAGCAACATCCTGTAATATAATACTAATCTCACATACAAGTAAGTGCAATGAGTTTATCTGTGGTGACCAGTGCTCAACCAATGTTGTAAGAAGATTGCGATCCATCATGATGTGTCACATCGGACTAACATAATCCAATCCTAAGATTTGAAGGCCTTCCATAAATCTCAAACAATTTATTGGTCACTTATGAACCATTAGAAGATGCGAAGCTGCTTCCAAAATTATTCCCTACATGTCACAAAGATTGAAAGGCATTACTAACATTAAATGAATGTACGATCCTTATAATAAATTACAATAAATTATACCTCATCTGGATGGGCCGCTCTGTGTGACCCATGCAGTGAGACAATGCTGGGATGTAGATCCATCATCATTGATTGTTGGTCTTCATCCCTCTGTGCTACATATTTTCTAGCTTTACGTTTTTGTCGAGCTGGTTGACTTTCTATCATAATAGTTGCAATTTCACATTAAAAATCCGTTTATTTCTAACATAAATGAGAGTAAAAAAACATTAAGATCAACATATTAAATAAATGTAATGTTAATAAAAGCACAATAAAAAAGAAAAATCATTAGTTTCGATAACTGATGCAAGCTTAGATTGACACAACTAAAATATTAAAATTGAAGTAATACTAAGCTTAGATTGACACAACTAAAATATTAAAATTGAAGTAATACTAAGCTTAGATTGACACAACTAAAATATTAAAATTGAAGTAATACTAAGCTTAGATTGACACAACTAAAATATTAATATGCTACGAATAGTCATGATGTGATATATGGATTTCATAATTACAAGATAGCAATTATCATAAATATGATGTTGTTATTTTATCTATAGTTGTCTTATAAATATTTATAAGTCAATAAAATGAAAAACCAAAAGGCAAAATCAATAACAATATAATTATTCATCATAAAGATTGTTTAGAACCAATTCATAATATAATAAATGGATTTGATTAATTTTATATTTACCAATTACTATATGTTCAAATAATATAAAAGTACTAATTTCATATTGAATGTATCAACCCAAATGATTACTCTAAAATATATTCACTTTCAAATCTATATAAACTTAGAAGTCTAATTTACCATTTAACCTAAACGCACTTGTTCTTTATAAAACAAACTAAATTTGTTGCACAATTACATCAAATGAACTAAATAAAACAATCGAGGAGAATAAACAAAAATTAAATAGCTTGGACAATAATACAAAATTTTTTTTTCCAACACCAAACATAAAGCAAACAACAATGCAATCTTACATTCTTACATAACTTGAACATCAACACTACAACTCATACGGAGATAAGTTTAAGATCAATACTTTCACGAATTATTTGCACAGTGTGTTGGGCAGGTTGCTCTATTGTGCCCATTTATTTGACAATAACTACATACCCTGCTACTTTGATGCCTTGGTTCATTCATTGTGTTTCTAGATTAAGAATCTTGGGCTTACCAGATCTCCTTCTAAAATTTGGAGGGCTCAAGGGGTACAGACCAGCTGTAGGATCATGAGTTGGCTAATATTCCTTATCTGGTATTGTGTTAAATTCATTTAAGTCATCTTGACTAATGAGTGAATAATATAAAATATAAAAAATCATAAGATATGAAGTGAAATCAAAATATCCCAATAATAAGACAACATGAAATATAGTTCAACTCAAAATTCTATCTTTCCCAAATCCCAGTATTCTTTTCATTAACATATAATTCCAATTTCTAAAAATAAATAGCAATGACATATCACATAAGAACTCATAAGTCATCAGCACTGTCATCACTAAGGGGTTCTTCATTTGAATCATCATTATGATGAACTACTCTCTCCCCTTCCTCCTCTCCTATAGAGTCCACAGTCAAGCATTTACTTTAAGATTTATATAAGTTTTAATATATATATAGCGTGAGGCGTAAGCCTCATGCCAGTGAGGCGAGGCGGGCCTCAACAAAGTTGAGGTGCAAGCCTCATAAAAAAACTCGAGGTGTAAGCATTGAGGCATTTTTTACTGGAATTGCGCAAAGGCGGGCTTCAAGGCAAGCCTCATATTGTGCAATTTTAAACAATGTATTGGAGTAATGAGAGCTTGTACTGATAATCTACGTGCTCTCTTTAATATGTCATTAAAGGCTTATGATGTGTTAGTTGTCATTACTCTGTATCAGAATCCACCATCAAATATCAATGTCGACTTTGAAACATCCCTTTCAACTAACTATTGATGATGTTCAGGCTTTATTCTTATTATATCTAACATGTACTGATTGAATATTTTTTGTATTATCGATATTACCTGATGTGTACATCTGCTGGCATATAAACTCCACATTAGATACTCCCATTTGTCGAACATCTTTCTTAAAGTTTTCATGCAAGTGTCTATGATAGTGATGTGCCTGGGAATGTCCCTACATCCATGTAGCAACCCAGCATGCTGATTAGATTTGATACCGAGATTACTTTTACTGGTAA